CCCTGGATGTTCATATTTACGGCATCTCAAAACTCTTCCAGCCTTTACCCATTACCCAGTTCTATAGCCTCTTTTTCAATTTTAGGTATTTGTTATAGCTACACCCCTACTGCTGGGTACCAATCTCTCCCTTAGTCAATTCAGGCTGCCATAACAAAATACCATCTAGACTTGGTGGCTTAAGCAACAAACAATTATGTCTTTAAGTTCTGGAGGCTGGGAAGTCCACGCTTAAGATGCCAGTAGATCCAATGTCTGGTGAGAGCCTGCTTCCTATTTAGAAGAAGGTCATCTGCTTGTATTTACAAATGGTAGAAAGAGAGCTCTCTGGGTCCCTTTTACAGGGCATTAATTCCACCCATGAGGGTTCCACACTTCTGATATACACACACACACGCACACACACACACACACACATCTCCAATGTTTGCTGAGACATTCTTAAGAATCTGCTCCATTGATAGTTGTTATGTATTAACTTGTCATCATTCATCAGTCTTTTTTCTGAAGCACCTGCATATGCTGTTGATAATTATGAAAGTGGAAAATGCCTGGTGAATAGATTTACAATTTTTTTTCAAGAATATGAAGTTATTGAAGAAATGTTAAGGTTGTAACAAAAATAATAAAAAGATAAATAAATATTAATTAACTCTCTATAGCTCAACAAGTGAGAATTTAGGTACATAGTAGAAATCCATGTCGGGAGAATACACCATTTTTTAATAATTTACTGTATACTCTATTTTGAAGACTGACAAAAGAATGATGAGGTCAAAATATTAACAAAAATATAATTTTAATGCAATATTAAAGAACCCCCCGAAAGTCAAAAAGTCCTCAAGCAGAAAATATCATCAGGTAAAGGTACACAGTTTCAAATCCAAGAAAATTGTTAAGAGTCAAGACTTTGATGTGTGGAACAAAGGAAAATTATATATGAGAGAAATTCTCCTGCTATAAATGCTTTTTTAATTTTTTTAAATTTTTTACGTCATAGCAGTTAGCATCTGACAAATGCTACTGCTACTTCGTGTGAAATAAAATAGTCTCTCTAGTCTTACTTCTAATGAATAGTGGTCTGCCTTGCTAAACTTCTAGACACAGATGGATCTAATTGATACCCATGAGGGGTTGTCAAAAGACAGGACTGTTTTTGAATCAACATGAAACTTGTCTTTGCTCCATGTCTTCGGAGAAAATAACAAGCGTGAATTATGTCAGTTGAAGAAACATGGGGCATGAGTTATCTTTCCTTGGTCTGAAAACCTGTTTGCTCACTTAAGAATGACAGTGAAAATATGTTGTGAAAACTAAGCAACAAAATGTAAAATTACTTGACATGCTTAGGTATGCTCTGTTTGTTTTGTTTTCCTTTGCTTAACTATCTTTTCACAGGGTTATTGTGCAAGGTATTAATTTAGAACTATGTCATTCCTTACTACTGGGTATTTTATCATCATCATCATCATCATCATCGTCGTCGTCGTCACTGAGCACAACAAAGAGCCAGAAAACAATGCTGTTGCCAAGAACTGAGTCAACTTTGAAGAAATGTTCCCTTTGGTTTAATGCATGGCAAATATACCATATCTGGTTCCTCGCCTTTTGCCTGGCCCTACCTTAATTTCTAGTTATTCTTTCCCTTATTCTTTTAGCGTTTGCCTTTTGATGCACTGATTTTCTGCCTCTAATGTTGTATAGAGGCAGACCGTGTTATTTTAAAGTTCATGGAAATGATTTCTAGTGAGTCAAAGGAGAGTAGAATAAGAATACACCCACTAGTGAGATGGGGGATTTTCATAACAGCAGGCTCTTGAGTTTAGAAATGAAATTTTAAAACAGTTGATTATTCAATTACATTGAAAGATG